TTAATTTTTTTGCCGTGGAAGCATTTCATAGGTTTATAAGTATCTTTGTAATCCTAAATCGTTCTCATTTTCGAATGAAATATTTACCTTTTAGCAAAAAGATTGTTTCGTGAAAAATTATAAAAATATGAAAAATGGGACCAAAGAAAGGAGAAATAGATTTACGAGGAAGAAAGTAAGCTAAGACTACAAAAAATGGATTGGTCCCACCCAAGCTTTTTTGTAATATATATTTTATATAGTATTTGGGACATTTAATACTGATAAACTACTTAGGTTAAAAATCACCTTCTAGTTTTTCATTTTAGTTTATGAATTCTTTAGAGAAATATTTCCATTGGTAACTCATGAGACTAAAATTTATAGTTTCGTTTTAAGTGAAAATGATAAAAAGTTGTAGTTGTTTTACTATTGGGAAATCAGAGTATTTGAGTATTGTTTTAAAAAGTCAATTGCAGTCAGAGCCTAATCGAAGTCTATGCGATTTAATAGACGGTTTAAACGTTTTACAAAAATATATACTATATTATATATATAATAAATTTTATAAAAAAAACATAATTTATAAATAATAGAATTTATATTGTGTTTATATTCATTATTTTATAGCAAAATATATAGAATATTATGATTTATATATAAAAAATCTATATTGTTTTATTATTATAATAACATAATATTTTAGGCGGCAAAAACTGTGATCGCAGTGATTGCAGTATTGCCTTATATTTTACATGTCCATGCCAATGGTTTTTTATTATAAAGAAGGTCCTAATATATATCTTGTTCTTGTTAATTGTTTTAAAGTAATTCATACATATGGCCTAACATTAATTGTAAAACCAGCCAAACATGGTATTGAATTTGTTTAAATGGAATTAATTGTAATGTTGTCAATTTTTTCATAATACTAGCAGTTGGAGACGTCTGTATTATCACGATCTCCCTATTAAAAGAGAAGTAGAATTATTTATTTTGTTTATTTGTTTTAATTTCATTGGTTCAAAAATATGACATGACTTGTCAAAAAAGATGACATGGTTTAAATTTGAACTAATTAATTAAAATAATAAAACTTTTTTTTTTGAATTGTAACTTTTAGTTTTTTTATGTTGTTAAATACAATTTGAATTGTTCAAAAGATTTCGTAATATTAGTATATATTTTTAAATTCCAATAAAAAGTTATGAATAACAGTAATTACAATAATATCTAGACAAATCTTTAAAAATTAGCTTAATCCATGTTATTGTTATTGGATTGAACAATAATCGTGAGCTTAAATTCTTCTAGAATAGTTTAGTTCAACAATAATTCAATTCAATTAAGTAAAACTAATTTAAAATTTAGACCATTATAAATTAAGTTTCGCATAATATAAAATGACGATGTATAAGTTATTCAAATCAATCTCTACTCAATTTACTTAAATTTTTGAAAACAAAAAACAATTGAAAAAAATGTATGTAATTGCCTAGAAATAAGGATACAAAATTAAAAAAAAAAAAAACGTGAGTATGCAAGTATTATATTGGGATAGCTTTTCTCACAACATAAATTTGTTATGTTAGAAGCTATCAAATATCTCCTCCACAAATATAAAAGGTATCGAACTTTACAAAAGATTGTGTATATTATTTTCAAAGTTATGTGATCACAAACAAATTAATACATTTGGTATTAATATAACACAAAATTTGTTATATATTAAAATAAATATTAAAGAGAAAATAAAGACGATAAAAATAATAAAAGTAAAAAGAAAAGGAATAATAAAAATGGGAAAAGAAGAAAAATAGACGAAGATTAAGAAGAAACTGGAAAATAACGAAAACAATGTCGGAGTATAAAAAAAAAATATAGCCAATTTGGACGCAAGTAACAATCTTAGAAAAGTAAGGAGAATAAGTAGTAGAACAAAAAAAAACAAAAACTGAAAAGAAGCACGACCGGAAAAAGAAGAAGAAGAAGAAGACGTCATATAAAACAAAGAAGACAAAGACGATGAAAATTGGCGGAAACATTGAAAGAAGAAGAAAAACAAAACAAAGACTCAGAAGAATAAATAGAGCATATTTAGATAATTTATTAACATTAACAAACTTTATAAAAATGTCAACCCAAAAAATAAATATCAACGAATGATAACACTACCAATAACGGAGTTTACAAATTCTCGAAGCATACGGAAGACGCGGTTTACAAATCACCTAGAAATAAGAATAAAAAATATATTTTGTTTGGTTTTGTGTTCTTTCCTTGAAGATTGTAGTATTTTGTCTCATAAATTTCTCACAATGACTAAATTTTCCAATATGTTAAAACATTCTTTCACTAATTATAAAATTTTACATATTGTTATCAATCGTTTTAGTTTCATTTAAACATAAATACAAAAATTACAAAACGGAAAAACACTAATTTTTAAAATAACACTCAAAATATTTAAAATATCATTTCACACATTGTTTTCTATATCACAAACATAAGAGAATTCAATTTTTTA